CCCCCCCCTCCAAAAAAAAAATAGCATGGGCAACGATTGAGGCCCCTATATTCGGGTTTAGGGTTTAAGAGTTTTGGGTTTATAGGGTGTGTAGGCTTTACCGGGCTCAGGGTGTAAGGTTTAGGGCAAGATGTATGGAACCCTATGATGCCCGTCATACAGACCACAGAAGAGCAAGCGAGGTTTAAGCTGCGCTTCAGGGTCCTGAATGCTCCGGATATACGAGCTATATTACCTTAGCTGCACAATGTTTCGTTTGGGGGTACGTATGATGATCAATTTCTTTTGCTAGGATAAATTCAGGGCACTCTAGCAGCATCCCGATGTGGAAGAGCTTCCACATAGAAAAAAGCTCGATGCTCTTACAGGCTCAATGGCGCAGTTCGTGCCCATTCGTGGCTCGAGGATTTTATCTCTCCGGGTTGCCTGTGTTGGGTTTCGGTCCTTTCAGCCCTACAGTCCCCTAAACCATTTCGGGTCTCGGTTAAGGGTTTAGGGTTTAGGGTTTAGGGTTTAAGGATGCAGCTTCTCGGTCTGCTGGTTGAACGGTGCACGGCTTTTGGACGAATTCAAATTTTTCAGCTCATTCAGCGAAGGCTTTGGGACGCGGGATGAAAGACCCTGAAGGAAAGAACCCCTCCTAGAAGGAATCCGGATAGAACAACCCCATGCCCAAGCATTCTCGATGAGAAGAATGCCTAAGTGATAAGAGCCCGAAAGACACCTGGGCCCAAACCCAGGCCCCAAAGCAGAAAGAAAGCCCAAATCCAACCCCCCCCCCCGAAAATGAATGCATATGTATATACATATATATATATATATACATACCTAACATAAACTGCCTCTATCACGCTCCAGCCCCAAAGGCATAAAAAATAAATTCCTAAAGCTTGCAATCCCAACAAGTACCCGATGCCATGACTCCCTAACCCTAAACCCTAAACCCTAAAACCTAAACCCTAAACCCTTAAACAAAACCCCAAACTGCCGCCTCTATATACCTCGAACCCTGCGAGTCTAATCCCATGCAGCCAGAATCCTGCCCTCTAGAGCCCACATGATCCCTGCAAAGCCGAAACATCGAAACCCGAAAATCCTGAAAACTCCGAAGTCTTACAAGCCCCTGAGAAAACCCTTCCTTCCTTCCTTCCTTACTTACTTAGCCTTACTTAAGCCTTGGATGGTGCCCCGCCAAAAAAGAAGAAACAAAAAGCCATCCCGCCTGGACCCTGAGTTTCGCCTCTAAGGCGGCATCCGAAGCCTCTTTGGGCTCTTGGCTGCCGCTGCGCGTGAGCCTTTGGCAGGAGGTTTAGTTTGCAAGCCTAGGGGGATTAGGGTTAGGGTTTAGGGTTTAGGGCGTATGGTTCGGGATGACGGGGGTAGGGTTTGTAGGAGTTTGAGGTTTGGGGGTTGATTGGGGCTTCCGGGCTTAGGGTTTATAGACGTTCCGGGTTTAGGGCTCAACTTTAACCCTAAACCCTAAACCCTAAACCCTTAACTTGTCTAGTCCAAGGTATCACCACCCTCAAGCTGAGAGTGGAAGGCACGAGCTACACCGAACCCTGCAGTGTTTCCGACTGGGGTTTAGGGTTTAGGGTTTAGGGTTTGGATGTTCGATCCGGCGGAGCGCGCAAACTGCAGAAAAACTCATATTGGGGTTTCAATACTTAGGATAGGGTCTTGGGGTATATTATACTGCTATCGTTATAATGAGGAACTGCAAAATAGTATTATTATTATTCCGAAGGTGCAATGTCCGTCGCGAACGTACCGCATGCACGTAAATTCAAGAGGTGAAACAGAAAAGGAGCGCGGGCCGCTTCGGCGGCGAAAGGCTCGTGTTGAGCCAATCGGCGAGCGGGCCCAGCAGGCTCCTGGGGCCGGCAAGGCGGATGAAACAGGGGCGACCCAGTTCCGCAAGGGTGATGGCGAATCCCAGCCACGCGAGGAGGAGGTGAAGCCATTTGATGTGGCCACGCAGAGCCCGCAGGGAACACGACGCCGGAGCCCAGGCAAGCGGGACGACAAGAGCAGGTGCCGGGACATCAAGCGAAAGTCCAGCAAAGCACGCATCCGAAGGGGGCGGCTGCCAAAACTGGATACGGCGAGTCGCCGGCAGATCTCCGGCCATAAATGCAAAGTCGGCAGTCCAGCAGTCACGGTCTGTGAGGAAGTGCAACCCCGTCCAGCTCTCCGCAACAGGAAACCCACGGAGCAGAGGAGAGAACTCCTCAGGAACCTTGACGTCCCGCCGAGCCCTAGAGGCCGAATCGCAAAGCAGGTCGACCTGCAGACAGAGTAGAACATCGGATGCCCACTCAAAGAGCTGCCCTGTGCCAAGCTCAGAAATCCAAAGGCTCAACGTGTTGCGGAGAACATGAAACGGTTCAACGGCAGACTTAACGCACTCGAAAATCGCCGTATCAGAGTCAAAGCACCCCTCGCGAAGGGCCGCCAACAGGGCAGCAGAGATATCAGGGCCAGCAGCAGGCACAAGGGTGAAGTCCCCCCCCGCAGACGAAACACTCTGCACGTGGCCGGCCTCGGAGTGATCCACAGGAAGCAAAGTGGGTAAATCCATCTCGACTGCTTGGCAGCAACGCACGGAATCAATGAGGTGCCGCTGGTGTCGCCTCAAGGTCGCAAATTTCACCCCGCAAGCCCGACAAGTCAAACCATGCGCAAAGCGACGTGATCGAGACCGATAGCCGTGGGACCTTGCAGCATGCGCGGACCAGGAATGAAAGTCGAAGAAGGCGACTGCGCAAATCAAGCATGCGTGCGTGGCAACCTCAACTGACACAGGGGCAACAGGGACGGGCGACCAGTACTGCCGACAGAAGCACTGGAAAGCAGCAAGAGACTCAAGGGCCCCAACATGCCAAGCAGTGGCACGCTTAAGGAGCCCCTTGAAGCGCCGCGGCGTGGAAAAGACAGCGACCCAATCGTCCCAAGTGTCGGCAAGCGCACGAAGGCATGATGTGGAGGAACATGCTGTGACAAACCACTCCGCAGCAGAGCGGAATGCCTCCAATGCCCTCGGCGAGTGTTGCAGAAGTGCAAACGCAGCATCAGGGCCATTCCTGACCAGCTGCGCCAGGAAGCGCAGCCGGTCAGCGGAAACCAACCCGAAAAGGTCAGGCAATCCAATCCGGGCCAGAACCCGTTCAGTGGTCCAATTTTGCGCGGAGGCGTGCGGGATCCTCAGCATAGCGCGGAGCATAGTAAAGTAGCAGGATTCAAGGGCCCTCCAACTTGACTTGCAAAGACTGGGCCAGGCACCACATCCGGACAACATGGCAGACAACACGTGCGACCGAAACAGCGCAACTCGTTTAGCCAGAGCAATATGGGGAGTGCAGAACACAGTAGCTCGTCCCTCCTTGAATAACTGCTTGGCATGCTGAACTCGGGCCCTGGCTTCCGGGATCATGGAACCGTTAAAGGAGAGCACCGAGCCCAGGTGTCGATAATGCGGGACAACGTCGAGCAAAATCGCGTCGACGTTTTCACAGAGCACAGGTAACCGACCTTTGGCACGCGTGAAAACGGCTTCCCTGGCGGCTCTGGCACCTGATCCTCTATGAGCAAGGAGCACGGTCGTCTTTTTGGGACCGATGTTTGGTCGCAGTCCATGGCTCAGAAGTGTGTCGACAGAAACACCAGCTATGTGTCTGGCCGCTTGTGAAAGGGACGCGGCAGACGGAGCAACCAGGCAGGTGGCTAAGTCGTCAGCATAAACCACATCCTGCACAACCGTGGCAACCTGACCTGCTCGTCGAGCGTCATACGCCACCGGGCGACGGCTGCCAGACCAGGGAATCACAGGTTGGAAACCTTGCTCGGAAAAGTCTCCACGCCTTTCCAGTACCCTTGCGAAGAGGAGGCTGAACATCACATCAGCCCAGCTGGAGCCTGCCGAGTGCCCCGCCGGGTATGCACAACACAATGATCCTGCTGAAGAATGAACCAGGAATCAGTGTGGAATTCCTTGGCAAGGGAAGGGAGTAGCTCCCCGCAACTGGCCTGGGACAGGACGGGATCACAGGAAGAATGACACTGAAGAGCTTGCAAATCGGCCGGCGTAAGTCCAAGCGAACCTGCAATGTCCACAATCGAGCACGAATCCGTATCAATGCCAACCAGGGTCTCCCGCACAATGGCATAGTAGGCTGCAGCCAGATCGCAGAACAAGATGCCAGCAGACAAGTTGCGTTGCTGCGCGAAGTCAAGGAATAGGCGGGTGCAGTAGAAACCGATGCCATGGCTCAGCCCCGCCCGTCCGCCAATCTGCAAAGGGAGAGCACGGCGATTGAGCTCAGCAGTTGCGACGGGGCGTAGCACCTTATGGAGCACCTTTTCCAGGGAGCTCTGTACCAGAATGCCTCTTTCGGAACTACACAGCCCCCTATCCTTAGAATCCGGTTTAGGGATGTGGAACAAGGTACCACCCTTAAAGCCAACGGGTTCGGATCCATAACAAAGCGTCTTCAGGAGCACAGGCCAGAAGACGGTGGCAAGCGAGGTCGGGAATCGTGCACAGAGGGCAGGCGGCAGTCCGTCTGGTCCAGTGGCCTTCATCGCGCTAACATTCCGAAAAGCATCACGTAGGGCCACAAGGCTGGGGATGAGTCCGCAATCCAGGGTCTCCCGGGCCGGAGTCGCAGCCTGCCTTCTGAGACATTGTGAGGCAAACGACGCAACCTCGACACAAACTCCGCCCTCCAGCTCTCGGCAAAGTGCCTACGCCATTCCTCCTGCACCTGATCAAAAGACTGGCAGACAGTCCCATCCGTGCGCTTAAGAAAGGGGAGCGGCATTGGGCCACCCCGGCGGAATTTGCGAGGCCGGAGCAGCCTTTTAAGCGCGATCTGTGTGTCGCCCGGTCGAGCCTGATCAACGTCCTTGGCTAGGCTCTCAAGATGAGCCCTCTTGTCAGCTCTGCAACGTCGTCGCAAGTCCTTGCCAAGAACACTGATCTGTCTTCCGATAAGCGCAATGACAGTCTGCAGGGTCGCGGACCATTTGCCGGCAAGAAGGGCGCCAAACTCGGAATCAGGACTGCGCCACGAGTCAAAGGCACACCGCAGATAGGACAGCCTTTGAGCGGCGAGACGATCCCTCAGGGCGTGCCGAAGCCGGGCAATCTGTGCATGAACAGCGGCGGTGTCTTCAGAGAAAAAGGAGCCACGAAGGCGTTTGGCGGAGAGCGGAAACGCGTTCGCAAGCTCAGTGAAAAGATACTCCGAGAGCACCGCAGCATGGTCGTTGACATTGAGGGACCACGGAAGCTCGGGGACATGGCCAAGGATCCTCTCGATCTTATGAGCATTGCCCGGGTTCCTCAGAGCAGCTGGATCAATGCGCTAGCTGCTTGTGCCTCTTGGGCCTGCCATGCCGGAAAGTGCAACAAACCACAGCCGCAAAGTGGTCAGCAGTGGCATGCCCAGCCGTGATGCCCGGATCCACCCAGGCCTGAGTTTCGCAATCAGCCCAGGCATAGGGGACCGCGATAAAGTCGCAACGTTGCAGGTCCCCAGACACGCGCTGAAGCAGGGTGCCCCCCGGGCCGGTCATACAACATGAGAAGGTGGCAGGCAACCAAGAGTGCACCGCGTGCAACAGCTCATGCAGGTGCGAACCAGCGGTATCCTCAAGATCCGCGTGATGTGAATCAACAAGAGGAGAAGTAACAGAACCCAACCTGCAATTAGCGTCCAGCAGGAAAACCCATCCGCCGGGGTTAGCAACCTGGGTACATAAGCGAGACGTGGTACGCCACCATTCAGCGCGCACCTCCTCTGTCTGAGCTCTGTGAGGCGCGTGCCCAACAAGGACGGTGAGCACAACTGAGTCGACCTCGAGACGTACTATCAATCGACATACATCAGAGTGCAAGACGGTGACCTGATGACGAGGCCAACCGCACCCATTGGCAACCCAGAGTTCCACGCCGTAGCAGTTCCGTGCGTTCGCACCTGAGCAGTAACGAGTAAAAGCAGATCCGTTGCATGTACCCGCGGGGGTCCTAGCTTCCTGTATACCGGCAATGAAGACCCCCCGGGCTTGGAGGGTCTGGCTAAGAAGGGCAACCCGGCCAGTCGCCCCGTAAAGTCCAGGGCCTCGCCCCTCGGGCAGTGTGTCAGGAGCAATATCACCCGGGAGAAGAGAAAGAGCATTGTAGGAGACAAGTGTCCAACGGAAGACTCCCATCTTGGAAATACAGTGAACGTCTCGGCTCATCGGACGCAAGAAAGGACGCATCAATGCATCAGGGGGGAGGCACGATGCTGGCTCCCAAGGATCCCATGTCATCACTTCTGATGTACAGGCTGGGAGCTGCGATGGTCTCGCTAAGGAAAGACACTTATGTGGTAGCCATTTGGCTGCGAGAGCGCCATCAGCCAACCAACCCAAAGGGTCTTTGTATCGGTATG